TTGCTCGCGAGTCCGATTGCTGAGCCATATTGCTCGCGAGTCCGATTGCTGAGCCATATTGCTCTAGTGTGCGAGGGCATTTCTCCTCAGACTACGTGTATCACAGAATGACGCAGTTTCGAATTAATTTAATACATGTAAACTAAATACAAACACATAGCCATTAGCCCCAAAGAGTGGAGGTCTCTCATTTCTATGTTTGAATTACAATTTATTACATGTTCTAGTATCTATGTGTAAACCCATGTGATACATACATACACCCGAGCTGATAAGCTGATAAAGTGCATATATATATTATATATGCAAAAAGTATATTTGCACCAGCCTCATATGCAATCATGCTTAATTTTTTCTGTGGAGAAAAATAAGCCCTGTAAAATTTAGCTAGGGGGCAGAACTATATGTCACAGGAAATTCCATGAAAAGCTATTAAAGATTAGTGAGCTTAGTAATAGTTATACTTACAGATACACAGAGCGGCCAGTATGCGCACAGCTTCATTAGGCGGCTCACAACCCATGAAGAATGGCTGTGTGGCGTATTTAGCGAAGGTCAGGGCAACGACAGCTTGGCATGTTGGGCGAATAATCAGCAGAGACACCCAAAGAAACAAGAAAGCTGGTAAGGGTCCAAATGCTGCCATGCAGTAGGCAAAGTCACCACCAGAACGTGTGATTGTTGTGCCCAGCTCGGCATAGCACAGTGCGCCTAGAGTAGACAGCACGCCGCACAAAACCCAGATGATTAGCGACAACCCGACGGTCTGTGCCTGCCTCAGCACTCCAACGGGAGTAAGGAAGATCCCAGATCCGATTATGCATCCCACGATGATGGTCACTCCATTGAACAAGGTCAGCTTCTTCTTCAGTTCAACCTTTTCTCCATTTTGATCCACATCTTTCGGCGAGGTTTCCTGTTGTGTTTCGTCAGCCATGATGATAATGTGCCTGCCTGACGCACGTGACGTATGACTATATCGGTAAAAACGGCCAGCAGGACTTACAGTGTTACCTGTAGTCGTGTAGGCCTAAGATAGCTGTTAAAAAATACACAGTGGCTATATGCCCGGCAGCCAGCGTATATCTGACGGCTGCCGGGCACGGTCTTCGATTTCCTAAATGCCCGGCAGTTTTTAATTTTTAGCGTTATCTCAAGTAAACAAGGGTTAGGGTTAGAGTTAGGATTAGGGTTAGGGTTAGAATAGATAGATAGATAGATAGATAGATATAGATATATAGATAGATAGATATTGCTATGGTGTGTACATACGCTAAGCTGTATTAAATAACAGCTGTATAGCCTGCCTATACAGCTCAGTGGTAGGTACATAGGCATAGTTCTTGAAACATTTTCTTTTACAGTGTATGGGCGCCATCTACTGATGATTTCTACTTGTAACATGGAGCATAGATGGATACACCACATATTATGAGTTTTTATCTGGAACATACAACATACACTACACGTATGCTATATTTATTATATAGCTATAGTTTTAGCTATATTTATTATATTTTTCACGTACACGTATTTTGTAAGCCTACTTCACAGCCACACAAATTATAAATAAAATTGAGTTCATATATTTTCGCTCGTATGATATTCTCAGATGTTTATGACAAACGATATATAACTATATATATAACTGTATACGATATATAAACCACTATTATGATAATTCATATAACAACCACAGACACATCTTGATGTCCCTGCCTTTCTCAATAAAAATTCACTACGGTGGTGTGATACATTCTACCTAACCCCCCGGGGTTAAGGTTCCCATTAAATAGCCGATTCTTGGGGCACTACATACAACAACTTTTGCAGAAACTCTGTTGCTTTCCCTGCGAAAGAAGAAAATGACAAATGCATTAGTACAATTGCGCTCTTTTAGAATTGCACTCACTTAAAAAAACTCAAAATTATTTGTAATAAGTGCACAGAAATGTTATAAAATTTTAAAAGTCGATTGGAAAAGATTACCAAGCATAGGAAGCCTATATATATATATATACTCTACTTGTATCATTATATATAATACCGAATAGTGCCGTGTAGCAGTCTGGCTTGTGCTTCCAATATATGAACAGCAAATAGACAGGAATCCCGAGTGCATTGATGAGCAGGCCGTAACCTGAAGGTTTCGGATCCTCAATGAATGCCAACACGACAATGAAGACGCTGCACAGTGCGAAAATTATTGGAATGATGATGTTCAACTGCAAGCGAAAAGGGCATATTTACAAAGCGCGTGCTTACTTTAGATCACATGCGTTTATCAATAATAAACTACGATTCTAATTAAGACTCGAATCTCTGTGTGAGCCAATGGGGTAATAGCCGTTCTAGATTGTAAATTTAATCAAAATAACAAGCCAAATAAATGTAATTATAAACGTAATAGTCACTTATAAAAAGAATACAAACATATATGTAATAAAGCCCTTAACATAAATGAATTAAACATATGATAAATTGGTCACTTGAGCTTGATTATGTCTCTTGCACCTTGATCGGTCTCTTCCACATGGGCTTCTTCCATCGCAGATACAGCATACCAAGTACAGATACGGTCATCCACACTCGCACGTTAAAGCTGAAGAAGCTGATGAGCGAGAAGATATCTCTCACACACAGGATGACCAATGAAGGCATGCACTGTTGAAACGAAACATCATGTCATCACAGATACTCTCGCCACTCGGCTTGTGTAGGAGTCTTTATATTTTCCCACTCACAGGCTGTCACTCACCAGCTAGTTGTCTCAGCACACATCCTACCGTGATGTGGGTTAATTGATTCAAGTAGTGGAACTGCTAGAAACATAACGACACTACACACGCCGAGAGCGCACACGGAAAACATGAGAAATAAATAACTGGTAGTAAATGTATCTAACTAATTAATTTTACTTCAATCTAGCTGTGTTTAAGAATATAATAATTCGGAGGATAGTATAATGCAGCATCGTAACATAATTTTGATCAAATGTGATATATAAGTAATAAATAATAAAGTGATAAATCATAAGTAAAAACACACGGACACCCATGAAGCGATAAGATTAATTTAAAAATAGAAATAGGTGTCAAAATTTTATTACGCGAGCTTTCGAGAATATAATTATGTCTCTTCGTCAGGCGAGATATATAATATATATAACATATTTCTGTTGTTGTCGCCTGACGAAGAGACATATAATTATAGTGCTTACTGTAATTATCACAGCTGGAGAGGGTGTAAGGTTCTTTACGTGAATCATACAGCCTATCGCCGGTAATTGTCCTTCCTGTGCTCCAACAAAGACGAGCCTGTAGTGGACATTTTTACACATTCCATATTCATACACAATTCCTCAACGTATGCCATATTGCAACGTTATCAATGACTATGCTAATTAACAATGTCTTACATCGCAGAGAGGTTATGCACAGAAGGTGGATTTCATGTTGAGATAATAAAATGTTTAAAAAAAAAAAATATATATATTATGCTGAAACAACTCCCTCACTGGACCTTGATTCTTGCACTGAGGATACTTCATCTCAATGCGCCTACTACATTGCGAATGTCAAGAACGTAGATACCAGCTTTGGAGATTTTTTTGCCGCAGTTGCGCCTTTTTTCGCCTCCGGTCATATACCTTGAGTTAGGAAGTAAATCCTTTATTTGACCTTTGACCCTCCAGTTTTGATCTGATATCGTCTTTTTAGATTGTCTCTTTACGTGTCAGATATGAGTGTCGGAGGTGAAGTTCTTTGTAATCGTTGCACTGACTCTTGTAATTTTTCCTAGCTGATCAGCCCGTTACAAGATAATTTTTAATTGTACCATAATCTCGCTATAAGTATTTTACCTTCCAGAACCGAAGAGCATTCCGTTGACCGTCCCAAAGCATGACATGGAAACAAACACTGGTACGATCCAGGCCATAACTCCAAACATCCGCTTGCCAAACAGCTATAGTATCAGGAGTGAATAATAATAGATTATTTATAATAATAATCTATTATTATCTACTCCTGATAGTATGTATAACGTATATTATTTAAAAAACGTTTTAAAAATGTTTGGTTTAAAAAAATCTACATAATACTGGAATATATTTCCAACGCTCTTTTAGAATCAGTGACCTTATGCGTCGACGTAACAAAATTTCGTTACTTTATTAACAAACGAATTCGAATTATTCTTTTTAATGCGAGCATAATCAATAAATACTATTTTATTAATCTTGCAAGTGCAGCTGCAGCACTTCTAGTATATATAATGTGCCAACGTTCAATTTAGGAGGCATAACTCACCACACCGCTTGCATCTGATGTGAGGAATTCGCTTGGGGAAAGAACCGCAAAGTAGGCGACATTGACGAGCACATAGACGACTGTTACCAGCGGCAGGGCGATCATGATGGCGCGAGGTAGATTTCTAATGTAACATCCCAAAAAATATAAATATTTATAATTAGTAATTTATGATGCGTGTAACACGTATAGAAAAACAAGACAGTTGTTTTGAACATAGATTTTTCGTAGATTTAGATCATATATGCTCGATATACTAAATGTTTCTGTATAAAATATTCCTCTTTAAATGGAGTCTGAAAAGATGCTAAACTATTTTCAGACGAAACTATGTTTATCGATTTTAATGACCATTAACCAATATATTTATATTGGTTACTATTTATATTACATTATTGACACGTATCTCTATTATTTAGCTTCCGTCATACACTATTCCTAAGCAGTTTATAATTGTAATGTTCCAAACTTTTATTTGAAAATTTTTTATTTTATACAAATCTTCAGATTTCATTTTAAATTCATATTAAACAATGTGTAGATTTGGGTGAGAACGCATGTAAAAAAAAAACTCGCCTTTGTGGATCTTTCAGTTCCCCGACTACAAAGTTGAGGTTGTTCCAGCCTCCGTAGGCGAACAATCCGTTGTAGAATGCCAAGGCTATCATGCCTGCAGTAGCTGGCTTCTCTATTGGCTCCCACATATGGTAGAAGTTCTCTGTGTGACCTAAAAAGTAGACTAGGTCCTACCCATCCCTAATAAGCTCAACAATAAATTCGTATAAAAATTTGTATAGCCGCGATTACGATATATAGCTAGGCCTAATCTTATTTATTCTGATATTCAGCTAAAGCGAAAATCATTTCCATATACCTTGTTGAGAGATATAGATGTATATAGGTACAGGTATGTCTACGTGAGTGTCTGCGTGCGTACGTGCGTGCGTGTGTGTACGCGTGTGTGTGTGTTCATGTCGTACGGCATGTATGCAGGTATATGTTTATGCTTTGGCTTGAATGTGTTTGTTGTGTGCGGTTGTTGTTGTTGTTGTTGTTGTTTTGGAGGGGGGGTCGGGTCTTTAGCCACAAATGAATGTATTAATTACGTTCACGCTGTAAGTAACGAAAGTGTACTCACTAAACATTGCAGCACTACTTTATGCAGTGTACACGTATATTTGAGATAAAGAACGGATAAATTATAATGACATGGAACAATGGACATTTATATGTCATCAAGAGCTAATGAACACCTGATAAACACCATAAAAGGTTTATTAGCTCTTGATGTCATTGATAAGATTCACACATATACACAGTACGAACGAATAAGAAGTAAACTCACCCATGCAAAGCCAGGCAATTCCTGTCAAGATAATCAACATCAGTGCCAACAGCTTTGCACTGGTAAAAAAGTCTTGAATTCTAGTCGCCCACTTCACGCCAGCACAGTTTATATACGCCAGTGCGCCTAAATAACATAACGATTAAAATTCAAGTTGCAACAAAGCTGGTACTTTGTTCTAATAAACTAATATAATATATTCGTGTATGCCTAGATGTATATTATAAAAGCCGCCGTGTTACTAGTAAAGGTATTCATATAGCACGATAAAAATATACTGATCTCTATAAATGCTGGATGTGAAGTATTGCATGTAAATTAATAGATCGAGGAAAGAAAAACAAAATTGACTTATATAATTAAAAATTAATCATATTATATTAATTCCAATCCACAGAATTGGGCGAATTACGTCAGTCGGATCGCGTTCATACTTACATGAACAGACAGCTGCTAATATACGGATAGCTTCGTAAGGCGGTTCACAGCCCGGGAAGAATGGCTGCGTGGCGTATTTAGCGAATGTCAGAGCGACGACAGCTTGGACTGCTGGGCGACTAATCAGCAGAGTCATCCAGAGGTACAAGAAAGCTGGTAAGGGTCCAAACGCTGTAATGATGTAGGCGAAGTCACCCCCAGAGCGTGGTATCGTGGTGCCCAGCTCGGCATAGCACATCGCGCCTAGCGTCGACAGCACGCCGCACAACGCCCAAACGATGATCGACAAGCCGATGGTTTGTGTCTGTCTTAAAACTCCGACGGGAGTAAGGAAGATTCCCGATCCGATGACGCATCCCACGATGATGGTCACGCCATTGAACAAGGTCACCTTCTTCTTCAGTTCTACTCTATCTCCTCTCTCACGCATTTTTTTACCTGTGGTTTCCTAGTAGGCATGCCTTACTGGTACGCCTACGCCAGCACGTTTAGTTGTGGTAACGCTGAGACACACAAACTCTGACGCTGATACTATGTGTCATCGACCTCAATGTTATGTTTGTCAAGCATCGCATATTTTCAGGAAAGTCGTAATATAGTCTATATAGTCTTGATATTATTGACATAGCGCCATGCTACTATTTGTAGCAACTGCGTACTATATCCCGAGTTGGGTACAGAGGTTAAGTCCTCATCCACATTTTGTGGCTGCTGGCCTGATTTTCCTAGTATTAGACAAATGTTTCTCTTAGTTAATATTGCGTAAAGTACTTCAAAATAGAAATTATCTAGTTTGAATTCATCGGATTGCAACCAACATATATAAACAATGGGGTACCCCAAACTGTAATTGTGGTTCCTATATTACTTAGACTAATTTATTTTAATAAAAGTACTGTGAACCTAAATACTTTCTCCGGAAATTGTACTCAGAATTAATAGTTTTCTTTAAGGAAAAATAAATTTTATTGGGGATCAATTATAGCCCTCTTTAGCCAATCAAAAGCCACATCGTCCATAATTTATCCTCAATTCAATTTATGATCACACGAAGGGTTCGCCTTCACTGTTTAGAAAACTATATGTTATATATGACACATTTACACATAACACATAACGTTAACACTATGTTACGTTTAGTGTGTTATATTGCACTGTTTAGACAACTGTATGTTATATATGACAAGATAGGTATTATCAGGAGTAAGATAATATAGGATCCTATATTATCTTACTCCTGGTATTATTGATATAGAGTAATTACTAGTATTATATGACCCTGGAAGGGGATAATTAATTGATTTTTTTCAAATGTTTAATCCATATGTACTATTATAATTATCGTAGAACGTAATTATCGTTAATGTACTGTTATAATAGACGAGGGACAGACACCAAGATGTCCGTGTCGCTGATTTGGGAGTCATTATAGATGTTATCAGGAGTGAATAATAATAGATATTATTCACATCTTATTGACATTTTCTTCTTCATTTCATAATCTATTATTATTCACTCCTGATGTTATCCATAGACGTAATTATATTGTGACGTTACCTGTCTTTAATAAACAAGTGAAGAGACAAGAAGCTTACATTGATGAGGCAGAAAATGTATGACTATATTTATATATGTGTGATTTTACTGAGCTGATTACGCATGTCCCAATCGGAGACCGCGGGAACCATGCAGCAAAACAGGTGTGGCGGTGCGTTCAGGAGTGCACTGCTACGGCATACATTTTCATATCCATTTCTCTCTCTCTGTGCGCGCACGTGTGTTTGTGTGTGTGTGTGTGTGTGTGTGTGTGTGTGTGTGTGTGTGTGTGAGAGAGAGAGAGAGAGAAAGCAAGAAAGCAAGTGATGAGAGATGACCGAGAGAGATACTGATGTGTCACAAGTGAACTTCTTTTTTACTTTTATGATCTTGCATGCACCACACAAATTATTTTTATGATTCTGAGCAATAACATTTCATTACATCCCATATATTATAATTGTTATTTGCAGTTGGCTCAGAATCAATCTGAGCAAAACAGTTGTTAACCTCATTTCCGGTTATATTATATGGTAGGTTTCTGACGTCAGTGATATAGTGCATGAGATTTCTTTCTATTCTAAATATGTAATGATATAACGTTTTGTTAGTAATTTCACAGAGATTGACAGCACGGATAAAATGGAGATGAAAGTAGAATTGCATCTTCAGCAAGTACTTTCAGATGTAGAACAGTTAAAACATTTTCACAAAACGCTCTTTTTATTTATATCCACGACATAACCACGCATTTCTAACAAACCTGGTTGTGAATTTACGCGTTCAACGCTGCCTCTTCTCGAAAATCAAATAATCGCCTACGTAGACTTAGAGATTTATTCTGATAAACTAGGTAACATGTTCCTGCCATTTCCAGTAATCACTATACTATAGCTGCCACAGTTTAAAGGTCCCTTCGTTTATGGCCCTGTCACACTAGGCGTATAGCCTTAACGTATGCCAGCGTATGCGATTTTTCGCCAATACGTTGGTGTACGTTGATATAGGTTTAGAATAGGATATAGGATTTGATATAGGATAGATTGATATAGGATTTGATATAGGATATAGGAGTACGTTAGGCATAAGTTGTATTCGTGTATAAGTTGTAACAGCACGCTGTGATACGCTGTCGTACGTCGAGGAACGCCGAGACAGAAAAAATGTTTTAGGTTGTTCCAAATTTTTAGCGTATGACAACGTATAATTCATAGGTTAGGCATACGTTATAGATACGTTGTGGGTACGTTAGACATACGTTGACATACGCTAGAGGTATGTTAGAGGTACGTTATTCATACGTCGAGATACGTCGGCTGAGGGCAGGGCCGTAGTGGCCGCCACGGCAGCACGGCACTGCTGTGGCACTATTTTGAAGAAAAAAATTCTGGAATGTGTATCTAATATGACAATGTGCCTATTCAAATTCAAACTTCAAAACATACAGATGTACATAGTGAAAGTATAAATGCAGATTGAAAATAGGCTTATTTTTCATATTTATGTACTGATAGTATATACAATTTTGTAAATAATGTTTTATTAGTTATCATACTCATAATATATAGATACTTTAGTCAAAACATCAGCTTTAGCTACATTCCTCTTTGAAATTTACGAATTGACCTTTTAAAATGATCAGAATTGGTTGCTTTCAACATAGCCTGAAAATGCAGGAAATGCCATTTCCAGGCTCTACATTTCCAAAAAATTTTGGGGGAGTACCCCCAGACCCCCTAAATTTGGCTACATATTTCTGCAGTGGCACTTTTTGGTAGGCCACTACGGCCCTGGAAAGTGTAACGTACACCTAACGTATTGACAACGATTGAGTAACTTACCTCTAACCTATATTGGACGTATTTGCAACGTATCTTGACGTATTCAGACGTATTGTACGTATGCCTGGTGACGGAGTAACGTATTTAACGTATTTTTACCGAACAGCTAGCGTTTATTTGGCGTACTGTGAGCGTGTTGCGGGCGAGTCCCAGATAATTGGATTTGCTTGCAAGAACTCCAGCATACTCTCCTCCTGTTCTACTGTAAGTGAAAAGACAATCTTCGTAGCCCTCTCTTCTTTGCCTGGTCATTGGGCTTCCCGACCGGACTTAGCACCAACTAAGTACGGTACCAGCTAAGCCGTGTATACGTGTGAACGCAGCTATAGACTATAGACTATAGACTATAGACTATAGACTATAGACACCTATAGCATAGACCCTAGACCCTAGATCCTAGACCCTAGACCTAGGCAGCATAGACCCTATGAGCTCCACTTACAGATGCACAGAGCGGCCAGTATGCGCACAGCTGCATTAGGCGGCTCACAGCCCGGGAAGAATAGCTGCGTGGCGTATTTAGCGAAGGTCAGGGCAACGACAGCTTGGCATGTTGGGCGAATAATCGTTAGAGACACCCAAAGAAACAAGAAAGCTGGTAACGGTCCGAACGCTGTAATGATGTAGGCGAAGTCACCCCCAGAGCGTGGTATCGTGGTGCCCAGCTCGGCATAGCACAGCGCGCCTAGCGTCGACAGCACGCCGCACAACGCCCAGACGATGAGCGACAAGCCGATGGTTTGTGTCTGTCTTAAAACTCCGACGGGAGTAAGGAAGATTCCCGATCCGATGATGCATCCCACGATCATGGTCACGCCATTGAACAAGGTCACCTTCTTCTTCAGTTCTACTTTACCGTCACGAGAATTTTTCTCATCACTGGTAACCATTATGCAAAGGTTACGTGTACCTGAAAGTTCAGTGAGAAATATTTACCTTATCTATACAATGAAAATCTCATTTGCTCATGCACAACGCAGAAAAGGGAATAAGTAAAGCCACAGGGGGTTGATTCAGCAGCGATCGTTTCGAACGTATCGAATAGACAGCCTTGAATCTTGAGTAGTATCATATGTATGGAGTTGATCATGAATAGATAAATAATACGGAAGTAGAATGAACTGCAAATGAAAAAAATGCAGGAATTTGGGTCGATGAGGTTGAGATTTATTTGGGATAAGTTATCGATATATGGTCACTTTAGCTCATAGGGTCTATGTCCCCCAGGGTACTGCCGGAACGTACCCTAGGTACGGTCCGGTATACCGGAACGTACCCTGGTTACCTGGTAACTATTTGATATGGTTAGGGTTAGGGTTAGGGTTAGGGTTAGGGTTAGGGTTAGGGAGTAGGCGTAGGCGACTCCCTAGACTCGTTAGTGGAGTAGGCGAGGTACGGTCCGGCATAATAGATAGTACCAGGGTACGTTCCGGTATACCGGACCGTATCCAGGGTACGTTTCGGCAGTACCCTAGGAGACATAGACCCTCTCAGCGTCACTTTAACGTGAATATGACGATATTATTGAATTAAAATAGAAATCTAGTGTTTTCCGATCTGGATGCAAACTATCTGCGTATTTGTATGTGTATTTATACACGCACATGCACGCACATACGCACATACACATACACACGCCCACGCGCAAGCACACACGCACACACACGGTAATGGCATAGTTTGGCTGACTGGAGACAGAGATGTGACCTGTCTCTCCCTACATAACAATCACCGCCCCTACTAATTATTTGGCCATTTCGCACAGTTTCGCTGACTGGAGACAGAGAGGTGACAGGTTCGAATCCCACTGAGGAAAAATTTGTTTGCGTTGTATTTTTTCAGTTTATAATTATCATAAATTTCTAACGTTCCTAAATTTATGCTGTTACTAAGATATCTTGGAATCACAGTAAGGGCATTAGAAAATGCAATAATAAAGGAATTTTTTTTATTTAACCTGTCGCCTGTCTCTCTCTATGTAACAATCCTCGCCCCGCACGCACATAGGCACGCACGAACGCACAGTGAGTGAGTGAGTGAGTGAGTGAGTGAGTGAGTGAGTGAGTGAATGAGTGAGTGAGTGAGTGAATGAGTGAGTGAGTGAGTGAGTGAATAAGTTAGAGAGAGAGAGAGAGAGGGAGGAGGGAGATGAAGGGAATAGCATTCCCACATTCAAACACATACCGAATAGTGCCGTGTAGCAGGCTTGCTTGGGCTTCCAATATATGAACAGAAAATAGACGGGAATGCCGAGTGCATTGATGAGCAGGCCGTAACCTGAAGGCACCGGATCCTCAACGAATGCCAACACGACAATGAAGACGCTGCACAGTGCGAAAATTATTGGAATGATGATGTTCAACTGCGAACGAGACAGAATAGTGTTAATCGCGTTATCACTCAGATGCGTATAGACAATGTATCAAACGTGATGCAGTTCTCCGAATGAAAGAGATACGGATGCACCGCGTTCGTGGAAATGAAACCTGTTCTGTATCACCCACCTTAATCGGTCTCTCCCAGTCAGGTTCCTTCCAGCGCAGGTACATCATAGCAATAATTGAGACAGCCACCCACAGCCACATGCCGAAGCTGAAGAAGCTGATGAGAGCAAACACATCCCTCACACACAGGATGATGAGGGAGGTGATGCACTGTGGAAACAGAACGCACATGGAAATGAAACATTTATATTTTCCTTATTAATTACATTCATGCCATGCAATTCAGTTTTGACCTAGAACGTATGAGTGGAAATAAAACAAATGTAGAGACTAAGCCAATGAAATGACAAGACGAACATATCATACAAAATGAGATGTACGCCATTCAACTAAATTAATTAAAACTGACTTAATCACTAATTAATTTTGCCTCGAATCGCATAATTTATTCATCCATATACAACTGTATGATAATGTTATTCAGACAATTATATTATGTCATTGTCTGATATTTAGTAAATTTGTGATATTAAGCCCTTACTGTGAATATCAGCGCTGGGGAAGGTGTGTGCTTATTAACGTTAATCATAGAGACCACCGCCGGCAAATGTCCCTCTTGTGCTCCGACAAAGAGCAGCCTATAGTAAACAGTTTTAAACGTTTTTGGGTCATCCATTTACCACCTACCAACACGTGCAATGGCAATGTGATAACCAGCTATCCTACTCAAAAAGTATTCTATTTTGCACTACGAATATATGCATATTTGATGGCTTCACGTAATTCTGTATGAAAAAATTGCACCATGCAGTTCACAGAATGATAAAATAGCGATATAGCAACAAATATCAATATTCTAATAGCGAACAAATTGCAACAGAAGGTTTTATTGTTGAAAGTTGTTGATTAGACCCTCCTAAACTTCATATGCAAAATAGGCCATATTCGGACCACGGGAAACTGGCTAATTAGCATAAATCCAAAATGGCCGCCATTTTAAGTTTGAGGCCTTATATACCCTATACAGGTGGTGTTATACCCAAAATATGTATTCCAAATGTATACAAATATTATGGCAAAGATTTATATACAATTTGTTCCGGGTATTTCATATATTGACTGGTCTAATACCGGCACAGGACTCTATATGGTGGCGGTGTGTGTATGTGTGTGGTTGCGGGGCGCAAATGGGGTAGATTTCACATGGATCACCGTGGTTGCTATTGAACGGTCAGCAGCCAGTGAAAAACTGCATACGGTCAACTCCCCATGCTGAACACAAAAAGGCCCGCGGCTTTGACCCCTTTAAGCAAAATGAACAGCCTCGCGGCGGTAATGATAAATGGATGATAAGTACGTCTAGACATCACGCTGTCCTCGATGACACTTAACACTCTAGCTTTTAACTATCCGCCACTCCGGGTGCAAATTTCTCACCTCCCAGAAGTGAAGAGCGTTCCGTTGACAGTTCCAAAGCAGGACATGGATACAAACACAGGTATGATCCAGGCCATCACTCCGTACATGCGATTTCCGAACAGCTGCACACAAAGTATAATGTATACTATTTAAGCTCGCGTCGCATATTTTAAATCGTTTTCCAACTACGGTGTCGTCCCATTTCCACAACGACGGCGCACATTTTTAACTATGACCTGCCTTTTCTCATCCACGCCGTTGTGCGCGCCATCGCACATAACGCACAGCCACCCGCCGAGCGATGACAAATTTGGAATACTATACTATGTACTGTATTATTTTGGAACACTATATACTATCAGGAGTGGATAAAAACAAAGTTCATTGGTACTCATTCCCGATACTACACTGAAGAAATATCCCTCAACACACTTCGTTTGTAAACGTTACGCTATTACCATAAAAAAGGCTTTTTCCATATTATGCAAATAATCAATAATCAAAGTACACTGTTTGATCTAGCTTGCGAACATAGCCGCGGCACCTCTCCTGTTCACGTCACAGTCAATTGAGGAGGCACAACTCACCACACCACTTGCATCTGACGTGAGGAATTCATTTGGAGAGATAACCGCAAAGTAAGCGACGTTGGCGAGCACATAGACGACTGTCACCAGCGGCAGGGCGATCATGATGGCTCGAGGTAGATTCCTAATAAGGAATCCCCCCAAAATATATTTAGCTGTAAACCCGTGTCACGCGAAACCGCTGACAACCCTGTAGATTATGGGTGGGGTAAACAAGGAATTATCGAAAACCCATCTTAGTTTAATGTTAGTATTATTGCTCCATATGCCATCTTAAAATAAGTTCAACTTAAAATCTTCTAACTGCAGTGTCTAGTAACAATCTAGTAAAACATTTCTGTGAATTGGCAAGGTCGTTAAATAATCAACATTAGTTTTTGTATTTATTTATTTTTTAATACTATTGCAATATGCAATTTGTCTATTATTCATTACTAATTTTTCCAAATCGTTTCTCATTTACATTCAATACTTAAAAATAAATCTATCATAATCACGTCAAAAAATCACTTTTCTGGTTCCTGCAGTTCTTCGGTTACTAAGTTGAGAAAGTTCCATCCTGCGTAAGCAAACAATCCATTGTAAAAGGACAAGGCTATCATGCTGACAGAGGCTGGCTTTTCTATTGGTTTCCACATCTCCTGGAAGTTCTCTGTGTGACCTACAAAAAAACAATACTCAACACAACAATTCACTGAACAAAATTTTAACTGCAACAATAAATAAAATGAACTTACAAACAACAACTAATACCATATGCGATACTTACATGTTTGAAAATTGCTCACCGAACATTAAACTATTACATGAAACCATTACCCAATTACATAAAACTTGCTCGTAACTGCTCATCACGCGATTACTACGTGCATTTATACGTGCATGTGTGCCAGCATGCGTGCCAGCATTATATGCCATGCAACATGTGTGCCAGCATGCGTGCCAGCATATATGCCACCATGTGTGCCTTCATGCGTGCCAGCATGCGTGCCATCTATATGATCTACAAGTATCCGAATTCTATATAAAATAGTAATCACCGTCTCTCCTACAATTTTTGTCGTTTTTATATATCATCTTCCAAAAAATTAACATGCAAAATAATTATAACATCACTTTACATTTCAGGCCGTATAGGTAAGCCGCCCCAATAACAAATATTTGAGGTCACAAAATAGGTTTGAACCGCACTGCGCAAAAAACCTTTCTTGGCAAAAATTGTGCATAGTCACCTCAAGTAGGTTTTGGGCACAAGAGGATTGCTTATCGACCACAAATAGGCTCTGAGGCTATGAGAATATCCTAGCCATCGCAAACATGTTGTGGTTCACACGTAATTATATCAACGCATAACATTATGTGTCTGGCATTTACTGATGTATTAATAGTCTATATACAATGTCTGTTGTTAACGTTATGATAATCGGTAAGTCCGTGTGTATCGGAGATCATTCTGCTAAATCCTTATGGCACGCGCACTATCCTCTTTAAACATTGATACTCTGATTGATTGCTTCTCTATACTCTCTCTCCCTCCTCCCTCCCTGCCTCCCTTCCTTCCCCCTCTCCTCTTCCCCTCCTCTCTCCATTCTTCCCTCCCTTCCTTCCTCCCCCTTAATCCCACCCTCCCACCCTCCCGCCCGCCCTCCTTCCCTTTCTCCACCTGTCTTCTTACCTCCCTCCCTTCCTCCCTTCACACGTTTTCCAACAATTAAATATTTAATGATCAGCAGTTCAGAATTTGTTAATTGCGGGCTGGACGATTTATTACATGTAGACTATAGTATAGAACAGCATGTTTGCATTGTCATTACAGCTTACCGGTACGGTATGTGGTATTTATACACATAATATATTACTTTAGCTGGAGTAGAGCAGGCTCAAGTTTAGCAAACAGGTTATACCGCTATAAGAGTTTCCCCTTAGACACACAATGACCTTGTAGTCAGAGCCAGTATAAACCGGCAAGGGATTGTAGTAAATTACCGTAAAAGGATTAAAAAAGCTGACGTGTGTCTGAATGTCCAGTACAGTGAGATTTTTAGCGAGAGATACATATCGAGAGAGAAGGTGAGTGAGAGAGGGGGAGCGATTGAGAGCTAGAGAGAGAGAGAGAGAGAGAGAGAGAGAGAGAGAGAGAGAGAGAGAGAGAGAGAGAGAGAGAGAGAGAGAGAGAGAGAGAGAGAGAGAGAGAGAGAGAGAGAGAGAGAGACGTACGACGTACGTACGTACGTACGTACGTAGTAGGTACGTACGTAGTAGGTAGTA